AGCACCGTCTCACGTACTTGCTGGCACGCATTGGATGCTACGCTAGCACACGTCTGTGAACGTCTCTGCACATACTCTTGTGAAATGGGTTTGGGGGGGTGGGGGGTGTAATAACGTTCTTGGCGTCTGTCTCTAGATGATCGTCTTTCTTCTATGACGGCATGCTACGCTAGCACCGTCTCACGTACTTTCTGGCACGCATTGGATGCTACGCTAGCACACGTCTGTGAACGTCTCTGCACATACTCTTGTGAAATGGGTTTGGGGGGTGGGGGGTGTAATAACGTTCTTGGCGTCTGTCTCTAGGTGATCGTCTTTCTTCGATGACGGCATGCTAGCTAGCACCGTCTCACGTACTTGCTGGCACGCATTGGATGCTACGCTAGCACACGTCTGTGAACGTCTCTGCACATACTCTTGTGAAATGGGTTTGGGGGGTGGGAGGTGTAATAACGTTCTTGGCGTCTGTCTCTAGATGATCGTCTTTCTTCTATGACGGCATGCTACGCTAGCACCGTCTCACGTACTTGCTGGCACTCATTGGATGCTACGCTAGCACACGTCTGTGAAACTGGGACAATACCGGAACTGAGACGAGGACGAGAAGTCATTCAAGCACATACCGGAACAATTGACCAAGTGTGGACTGGGTGCAAAGCATTCATTCCAAAACAGCTGGGAGGCCAATCAGAGTTGATTGAGGTTTACTTGCGCGCGTTCCAGTGGAGGTATGTCAATCGCCTCACTCTGATTCGCATGAAGACCATCAACCAGCTCAACTTGCTGAGAAAGTGAAGAAGAAAACAAAGTGCGCAGACTGTGTTGTGATGGCTGTCATTGGGAAAACAGCACTTTGAAGAAATACATGTACGGCACCACAGCGAGGAAGGAAAAAAATTAAAACCACTCTAAATGCGTACTGATTTCGACAAATTTTGGACAAAAATGATAATGAATATGCCACGCAGGCCACGTTTTCTCTTTCCTATTTTGATGCGATGACACATATTATGCGGGCAGAGCCTATTCCAAACGATGTTAAATTTCACATAATTCTCGGTCAAAATTGCATGAAAACACAAGCGAAATATGACTTTTTCCAAAAACACCAGCCAATTTCCACATCATTTTGTGCATGCTGAACAAAAAACGCTTAATGCCTCCCACACGAAATGAACTTTAAGTGGACCTGATGATGATGAAATTGTGCAAAACGCACGTACGGAAAACGGCGCGACGGGAAGTTTATGTTGGTGTGTTTTGCTTGACAATGAAACTTTGCACTTTAGATCGCGTGCTCAACTCTCATCTTGACCGATTCTCTCTGGGTCCTGCCTACTTGACAAACTGAATTTTGTGATGTATTTAGATCCCAAAAATCAGAGAAATCCTAAAAAATCAGAAATCCCAAAAATCCCCCAGAGAAATCCCAGAGAAATCCCCAAAATCCATAAAAGATGTATTTAGATCCCCAATCTCTTTTTTTTGGGGGGGGGATTTCTCTGGGATTTGGGGATTTCCATGATGTACAGTAAGGATCCATCTGTCTTGGCTGTCGAATGGACATTCCCAAAATCTGACGCGAAGTGATACTAACATGAACTTATACATATACATAACATATATACAGTATAGTATAATACATGTATTATATATATAACTATATACACCAATTCAAGTACGTATGACAAACAACATAAAGCCACGGCCTTGGTGCTTCACCATCTGGTCGTGGCCTCTCTCGAGCAAAAACTACAACTGGACCCGCTGGATCCAGCAGACGTCAGAAAACAATCCCATATTATTGTTGTCCCCTGACCATATCACTGGGTTATCTACATTGAATATATATTGTATCCCCTTCTTATGATGATAACTATTGCCAATATTAGATACCTGCAAAAAATTAAATTCTTTGCTGGTGAACGTAGATATTCCCATTGATACCTAGCTATGACTAGTCAGGATTAGTTTGTATTCATCTAAGATTGACCTAGCTATGACTGGACTGGGGTTATGAGTCTGTACAAAAACTCTATATGTACCATGAGTTCTAAGCCTTCTAAGCCTCGAGTTTTTCGCTATGGCCATGGGATGAAACACGTGGTGAAAGTTGGTGACTTTACCAACCACCAATCTGTTTCTTTTTCGCACATAAATGTAACACATATATCAAATACATACACACATATTTAAATGAATATATATATATATATTCATATATCCTGCCAATATGTCATAGGGAATATCATCTCACCCCCGTTCATATTGAACACGTCATACAAGATGGCGACCCCCAGTGATGTGAATGTTGGTTTATAAACCATGAGATAACCCCCATGAAAACTAGTTTGTTACATCTACCATAAACCATAGAATGCAGCCACTTTTCTGTTCGGCAACTGAGTAAGCTATCGCTCGACTGGGGGCCCCATCCTGGTGGCCAATAGGTCCACCATGAATTGCTTAACACTACTGGTTGGTGGTTGAGCCCTACCCCTCTGAAAAATATGAGTTCGTCAAATGAGATTATTGTTCCCAACTGAATGGAAAGTCATAAAATTCCATGGTTCCAAACCACCAACCAGATTAAAACTCATCCACATGCAGATACTCACTGGTAAATTCAAGACAGCGAAAGTGGACCATGAAATAGATGTGCCGTGATATACCTGTTGAACGTATTTTAAACTGAAGATTTCCCCCTCCTCATACGCAGCACATTTTTCTCTTTATTTTCACATTTGGACATCAAAGCCCAAAGGAGAAAACATGTTCCACCCAAAGATATGTTCATCCCCTGTATGTTTGGTACAATGTGAGGCCCCCAAGATATAAGTTGGTTTAGATTCGCCCCAGTAACTATAGGTATAAAATGTTATAAATACCATAAACCATAGTGACATTGGAGTTATAGACGCACCAACTGAATGCTATCGTGGCCGGGGGCCTCACATTGGAGTTATGTCGTGATTCCCCACGGTGTCGCGATTTTTTGCCCAATATATCAAGGTTACCTGGCCTGGTAAACGTTTACAGTTTGCGAACTTGAAAATGGCCATAAAAAAGTTGATTTTCCCAGTAAAAATGGCCATAGAAATGATTTACCATAGAAAATGGCCATAGAAATAGTTGATTTACCCAGCTAGAAAATGGTGGATCTTTCCATAGTTATGTAAACGTTTACCAGAGGGTACAAGTAGTATAATCCGCGGACAAATCACCGATATTATCAATCAACCATAATCTACAGTATCAGTCATATCCACTTATATCCTTACATCCCCACATTGTTCATGGTTAAGCCCCTATAACATCCTAAAATTGCATACCCTTTTTCAAGCAATCAAGAGTTACAAAAAATCCCACAAACACCAGTAACATAGATCCTGAAACATACATCGGCCTTGAAAGATGAGTTTTCACATGTTTCCACTCAAAAATGGCTTGTTTTCAGTGCTGAAGTCTAAAAAAATCTCTACCACAGAGGGCTCGGCGGCCGAGACTCAATGCTGGTGAGGCGGAAGAGGCCTGAGACTCGGCGATTTTTTTGACCAAGTGAATGTTTAGACGAATGGTCTATTACCAAGTGAAGAAAAAAACTGATGTGCTATGTTCCAATATGATATATATATATACTATATTATACTATGCTGTACTCACCCGAAACCCTAGCTACTCTATAAACTATAAACCAAATTAGTCCAAATTAGCGAAGGAGCTAGGACCTTTTTTCGTTTTTTTTCATAGCGCCACACCGTTTTTTCACCATTGAAATGTGGGGATTGAACTCGTTGGAATGGAGATTCAGCCCACTAAAGTTAAAAGTCAACCTACTGAAATCTCAGATTTGATGGCCATTTGAAGAGGAAGATGATAAACATAGATAAACGATACGATTTTGGGGTATCAAAAAATGTGGGATACTGCGACTGGAGTGTCGGAATCTCCAACATTATTGCTGATCAACACATCTAATTTCAGCAATTGCGACTAAAAAATGTGGCTACTATTGTTGTTGTTCGGCATGCTGGAAATGTTAACAACAACACAGTTAACAGATGTTAACAGCAACGATGATGTAGATTGATGCAGGATAACCAGCTGGAATGTCGTCGCAATTCATCTTGACTGATCATACTGCTGGAGATAAAAAGCCTGAAGGTTAGATAAAGGATCAATTAATGATCATCAATAGCAATCTGAATCAGAAGGGAGACGGATGATCTTCAATGGATAGATATAGTGAGACATGTCTCCCTCACACATCAAGAAACCATTTCTTTGAGCCACCAAAATAAGTGGTTCCTGAAAATTCTCTTTTTCTTCAATTGCAGAAGATCTATAACAATGACAAATAGCCATCAACTTGAGATTCTGCCAGTGTGTAGATGTTCTCAATGGATAGCCAGTCGCATTTTGTTCCACCCAATTGGCAATATCCCCTGAGGTTTTCTTGCTTCCATCTTGGTTTTGATACCAGCATGTGTAGCGCGTTTTTACCATCTGGCAAATTAACAGTTCTTCCCTGAAAAGGGCCCATTTTTTGTGGAAACTAATCTTCCAACCCCTATCTGCCAGGGTCTATGTTAATTTACTGGAGGGTAAGCGACATCAGAAAACCAACGCATTTGGCCAACCCAGGTTTTCGGCAAATTCATCCCCGCAAGATTTTTCACCCGTTGCCTGTCCATTCCTGTAGTTGGAGATACTGCGCGACTGGGACGGCAAGGACGGCAGAATGCAGCTCCTGACCGTGAGATCGGGGTGATATTTATTGAAATGTACTGCAACATGGTGCCTCCTGGTCACAAATTGGTTTACAACCATATTAACTGTATATTTATATAAGTATATCGATGGTATATCTATAATAAAACATAGCTACTAGTTTGTGGTTAGTTCTGTTCAGCAACTTTGCAAACAAACTTGGGCTCCACCTTGTGTCTGCAACGTCTTGCCACCATCCCATGGCCACATTTTTTCAGACTTTGGGGACGAAAAACGAACATGATTTCTTACCTTGTTGGGAACTGGTTCCCTCAATATTGGAAAACATGTATCAAATCCTCCCATATATATATATATATATATCTATACATACATACATACATACATACATACATACATACCTACGTACATACATGCATGCATGCATGCATACATACATACATACATACGTATATATATATATATATACATATCCATCTTCTCATTCTCCAGGTGTTTTTTTGATATGAGTGACTCACTTCATGGCCGAGTCCCGGTCCCAAGGAGCTCTTCAGATGCTTCAGATGCAACGTTGATGATGAAGTCGGGCTGCGCCGAGGTGCGGAGCAGTGATGTCCCAGCACGCCCATGAAGGATATAGGTGACATATGAACCAAGTTAGTCTTACAAATATCATGTATGTATATATATATCTATATCTATATACGCATAGTTAGTCATGCTGGAGTACATGTAATATGGAATTTCCAAACAATTCCTCACCAAACCGGGAACATCTAAAGAAAACATATTCTATCTACTTCAGGATGATTACAAAGGTGTATATTATAATGCACCGACTCCTGCCTAGCTTTGGCCTAGGTGGGGCGGTGCCTGGGATCACCGCAGGTGTGCAGCATAGCTGGTAGGTTCCGCTACGGCCTCCTTGCGCCGCCTTCTCAAGCCTTCCAAGCCGCTAGGTTTCACTAGGGCCTTTTTGCACTCCAGCCTTTCAAGCCGCACGGTCATGTATCTATTTGGGGTTTCCAAGCAGTAGCAGTAGTAGTAGCAGTAGCAGTAGCAGTAGCAGTAGCAGTAGCAGTAGCAGTAGCAGTAGTAGTAGTAGTAGTAGTAGAAGTAGAAGTAGAAGTAGAAGTAGAAGTAGAAGTAGAAGTAGAAGTAGAAGTAGTAGTAGTAGTAGCAGTAGCAGTAGCAGTAGCAGTAGCAGTAGCAGTAGCAGTAGCAGTAGCAGTAGCAGTAGCAGTAGCAGTAGCAGTAGCAGTAGTAGTAGCAGTAGTAGTAGTAGTAGTAGAAGTAGAAGTAGAAGTAGAAGTAGTAGTAGAAGTAGTAGTAGAAGTAGTAGTAGAAGTAGAAGTAGAAGTAGTAGTAGTAGTAGTAGTAGAAGTAGAAGTAGAAGTAGAAGTAGAAGTAGGAGTAGTAGGAGTAGAAGTAGTAGAAAGCACAAAGGCCACCAAAGAAGCCTTGGAAAAAAGGCTGGTCCTGGACTGGCACAACTGCTTCCAGATCAGGGAGAAGGGGGAGGATGTTGTGCCAAACACGCACACCCTCCTCAGCTTTGCTCGCCAGGCCAGGGGTGGGCCAAAAGCCTGCCCATCACATGGGCAGGCATGAAGATGGGGCAAGGCAGAACGGGCCTTGGACTTCCAATGCGCCCATGTGTTGGATGACAACCCAGAGATTCTGAGGGAGTCCTTCGAAAAAAGACTAGAGGTGCTGCCCATTAGCACTTATTGGGAGAAGCATCTGTGGGCAAGGGACAAGGGACTCCCTGTGTACCTTGATTTTGTGGCAGCTATGGCAGATTTAGTAGACCTTTGGGAAGAATGAAGGCAGCATGAAAGCAAAAAGCCCACAGCCTCTGCAAAAAAAGGCAAAAAAGCAAAAGAAGACATCTGCAGCCTTTGGAACAAAGGCTTCTGAAGCTGGCCAAAACAGGAAGGCAGCCTTTGGAAAAAAGGCTTGCAGTAGAGTTTTCGAACTCAGCAGGAATTCTTTGAAAAAAAGATGCTGCTGCCCCACCTTCTCCAGCCTTCCAAGCTGCCCGGTCATGTATCTATTAGGGGTTTCGAAACTGCGGTTTGGCAGTCCCTTTTTGCCCCTTTGCCGCTTCGCCTCAAACAGGGGGTCGGCGGCACCAGGGCGTTAGCCCTCTTATATAGAGAGAGATAGTCAAATATGTCATATGTCATATAGGTACTGACGTGCATTGCATTGTTTTGTGTGCAGTGGAGTGACATGATTTGCAAGATAATGTCGCGTAGTGTTATGCTATATATCTTATGGTGTGTAATATAAGGTACTGCAATGTGATCTTATGTAGTGCAGTGTAGTGTAATGACGTATCTTGATACGTAATGTCGTGCAATGTTCTTTGATCTCATGTACCGTATCGTATGCAATGTAGTGTAGCATTGCGTAGTGTGCCGCAATGTTTTGTCCTGCCATGTCATTAATGTGTTCATTGTATGTAAGATGTAAATAGTGTAGCTTTATGCAGTGATGTGATGTGATAACGCCACTTCGAAACATCCTCTTGCGCGATGTATTGTAAAGTAGTTCATGTGATGTAAGTTGTGCTCTTTTCATGTCATGTTGTGTATGTGTAAACGACTGCACTTAAACAATTGCATACAGCCAACACGTGTAAATGATCGTATGATCGTATGTATAAGGCCTTACCTCAAATTGTTTGCACTGGGATGTGCCGGAATCGTGCCCTTGCAATCGCTTGTTTTGATTGAGTTAAAAACACATGATTCAGACGTACCTTCCAGGAGCGGTTAGGGGTTATTCAATTGGGTCAAATTGAAATTTAATATTTCAAGGGGCATTATACTGTCCATTAACTAACAGTAGAATATATCTTTATGTATCATATGGGGTCCTTGTCATACGCATGTGGAGGAAACCTCCATTTTCCATTGTAAACCATCCAGCTACTGGGAGTAGCCCCATCTTAGGAAACCCCCATTCGCCAAACGGGCGTTTCCAGGGGATGTAGGGTCCCATCGCCGTTGCACCATTGCAATCCCTTGAAACAACAGTAGCTACATCGTCTTTTTGGAGATACCTTCTGGTAAACTAACATAGCTATGGAAAATCACCGTTTATAATAGGTAGATCAACTATAAATGGGCCAATTTCCATAGTTATGTTAGTTTACAAGAGGGTACTCATTTTGACATAGTTTGACCCATCCATATTTTGAATGCATATATGACAACCAATCGGCTTAACTTGGACTTTAAAGAGCTTTAAAAAAGGCCTCCGAATGGCGCGAAAAAAGGCGCGGCTGGTGGTTGAGCCACCCAACATATCAATAATATTTAATAATATCTAATGATATGATCGGATCATGATCCCATTTCTATAGTAGAACAAAGCAATAGACCAACCAATTCATATTCCATTCATATTTCTATAGTGTTTACTACATAAATTTATTGGTGAAATCCCAATAGTTTTTTTTGCCGTGTCTCCTCCCATGACAAGTTTGAGGCTCCGGCCGCAGGCTCAATGGAATGGTGACATCGTCCTCCGGCCGCAGACTTTATTGCTTCCAAGTGCGTGGACTTCCACTGAAAAATGATTTCTGCAACTGGTGAATGGATCATTTGCTTATCAGCTGTTATCATCTTTATAAAAACAAGATGCAGCCCACGAACCCGAATGCAGTCACGTAAAACACTTTTGTGAAACAAGTTATATATTTCAAAACTTTTGTACTTTTTTTCCCCTGTTACCGTACCAGTGCACTGCAGACTGTGGAATGTGGAATGGGGTGGAATGCAAAGTGTGGAGCGTGACGAAAGTGGAGTGTTGAGTGGGGAATGTAGTGTGTAGAGTGTGGAGTGGGGATTGTGGAGTGTGGAGTGTAAAGTGTGGAGTGTAGAGTGTGAAGTGCAAAGTGTAAAGTGTAAAGTGTAGAGTGTGGGGAGTGTAAAGTGCAGAGTGCAGAGTGTGGAGTGCAAAGTGTAGAGTGTGGAGTGCAAAGTGAAAAGTATAAAGTGTAGATGTAAACTGTAGAGTGTCGAGTGTCAAGGGAAAGGTGTAAAGTGTAAAGTGGGGAGTATACAGTGTAAAGTGTAGAGTGTGAAATGTAAAGTGTGGAGCGTAAAGTGAACAGTGAAAAGTCTGGAGTGTGGAGTGTAAAGTGTAGAGCGTAGAGCGTAGAGCGTCAAGTGTAAAGTGTAAAGTGGAGTGTAAAGTGTAGAGTGTGGAGTGTGGAGTGTAAAGTGTGGAGTGTGGAGTGTAAAGTGTAGAGTGCAAATAAAGTGTGAAGTGTGGAGTGTAGAGTCTAGAGTGTGGAGTGTAAAGTGTAGAGCGTAGAGTATGGAGTGTAAAGTGTAAAGTGTAACGTGTAAAGTGTGGAGTTTACAGTGTAGAGTGTAAGGTGTAGAGGGTGGAGTGTGGAGAGTAAAGTGTAAAGTAAAGAGTGCGGAGTGTAAAGTGTAGAGTGTAAAGTAAGGAGTGCAAAGTGTAAAGTGTAAAATGGAAAGTCTGGAGTGTAAAGTGCGGAATTTGGAGTGTGAAGTGTAAGTGTAGAGTGTGGAGTGTGGAGTGCGGAGTGTGGTGGAGTGTAAAGCGTAGCGTGTGGAGTGCGGAATGTAAAGTGTAGAGTGTGGAGTCTGGAATGTGGAGTGTAAAGTCTAAAGTGTGGAGTGTAAAGCGTAGAGTGCGGAGTGTAAAGTGTCGAGTGTGGAGTGGAAAGTGTAGAGTGTGAAGTGTAAAGTGTGGTATAAAGTGTAGTGCGTGGGGTGTGGAGTGTGGAGTGTGAAGTGCAGCATGTGGAGTGTGGAGTGTAAAGTGTAGAGTGTGGAGTGTAAAGTGTAGAGTGTGGAGTGTGGAGTGTGGAGAGTAAAGTGTAAAGTCTGGAGTGTAAAGTGTACAGTGAAAAGTGTAAAGTGTAGAGTGTGGAGTGTAGAGTGTGGAGTGTGGAGTGTAAAATGTAGAGTGTGGAGAGTAAAGTGTAAAGTGTGGAGTGTCAAGTGCAGAGTGTAGTTTAAAGTGTAGAGTGTGCAGTGTGGAGTGTAAAGTGTAAAGTGTAAAGTGTAGAGTGTGAAGTGTAGAGTGTGGAGCGTAAAGTGAAAAGTGTGAAGTGTTGAGTGTGAAGTGCGAAGTGTAAAGTGGAAAGTGTAGAGTGTGGAGTGCAAAGTGTGGAGTGTGGAGTGTAAAGTGTAGAGTGTGGAGTGTATAGTGTAGAGTGTGGAGTGTGGAGAGTAAAGTGTAAAGTGTAAAGAGTGGAATGTAAAGCCTAGAGTGTAAAGTGTAGAGTATGGAGTCTCCGAAATACTGCGCCTGCCTCGCGAAATAGCATTCCACACACGAAGGATCTGAACCAAATGCTGCGCCTGCCACGCAAAACGGCCATGGAGGTCTCCAAAGTGCTGCGCCTGCCACAAAAGATGCAACTCATCTTCTGAAAACGGCGCAAGAGTATTGCGCCTGCCCCACAAAATGACTTTCGACACGTTTGCAGGCACCTGAGAATGTCAGGACGTGCCAAACCTGCCACGCAAAACCACATTACAACTTGCTTTGACACCGTGAGCCAGGATAGGTTTTGCAACTTCCCCAAGGACACGGCGAGGCTGGAGGAAAACCAGAGACCCGAGACGAGACACGTTGGAGCATCAAAACAATGTGGTTCGTAAAAAACACGCGACGCGACACGTCTACAGTGTTGTGCCTGCCACGTGAAATGACGATGGAGGTCGCCAAAGTGCTGCGCCTGCCACGAAAACTGCAACTCATCTTCTGAAAGCGATGCAAAAGTACTGCGCCTGCCACACAAAATGACTTTTGACCGGTATGAAACATGTTGGAATGTCACAAACTGCCACGCCTGCCACGCGAAACGAGGCCACGCGACGTCTGAAACCTCCAAAAGTATCCCTGTGTGCATTCTGCAGAGAAGTTGTGCCCACTAAACCGTTTACAAACACAGCCTTATACTACAGAATGATGCTTGAATCTGAACCAACCCCCCTTGCTACAAAATGGTTTGGGGGTTTTTATGATGGATCAAAAGCCAATGTCGGTCACTACAAAATGACTTTACGTAACCATTTTGTAGTGAAAACGGGTTGCAATGAAGAATCATGATTCGCTACTAATTGGTTTCACTTTGGTTCACTTTCCGGGCCAAGGTCATAGCATTTGCCGAGCACAAGTAAATACAACCTTGTGATTTCCATCGGATTCCAAGAATTGACCTTCCAAGAGGTTTTCTGCTACGATTCTAAGCGCACAACTTCAAATTCAATTGATGGGTTTAAACCAAATCTGTCCCATTTTTCCTTCTGAAAGTCTCTACATAAAAAGCATGTTTTTCGAACTTTTTGGGGCTTATCTGGAGGGAAACGCAGTAAGTTCTACAAAAGGTTGTGCACACGTGTGTCACACGTGTCACTACAAATGCAGTGCATGACAAAAGTCATCCAGAAATTAGATCCCTGTGTGCATTCTGCAGGGTAGTCGTGCCTACTCAACTGTTTACAAACACAGCCTTATACTACAAAATGATACAAAATGCTGCTTGAATCTGAACCAACCCCCCCTGCTACAAAATGTTTTTGGGGTGTTTGATGGTGGATCAAAAGCCAATGTGGGTCACTACAAAATGGTTACGCAAACGGGTTGCAGTGAAAAATCCTGATTCTCTACTAAATCGTTTCTGGAAATTTCACTCTAAATCTTTGGTTTACTTTCCGGGGCCCAGGTCATAGCGACCTATTAATGGAAAGTAATCCCCATTTATATAATCAACACCAACCATATTATACCATATATATATATTATACTCCCATTATTGTATAGATAGTCCCCTTTAAAATTGCTCACACCCAAACAACTTTTATGGGAACACCTCTTTTTGTAGTAAAAAATGGTTTGCATCTTTTTGTAGCAAGGGACATTTTAGCCAAATATGAGGTTTATAGGTGGGATAGTTATAATGGGAAGACCTCGTATAAAATTATTTCAGTGGCATATTCCATGATTTTTTTACACCAAACTTCATCAAAAAACGGCATGGGAAAATACGATGGCCAAGCATGTCCGGCCATCGTATTTTCCCATATGGCAAGTTTGCGGTACAAAAAGCCAAAACACCATTTAATCACCACTGACCTATTAATGGAAAGTAATCCCCATTTAATCAACACTAACCATATTATACTATAGATACATATTATACTCCCATTATTGTATAGATAGTCCCCCTTAAAATTGTTCACACCCAAACAACTTTTATGGGAGCACCTCGTTTTGTAGTAACAAATGGTTTGCCCCTTTTTGTAGCAAGGGACATTTTATCCAGATATTGGGTTTATAGTTGGGATAGTTATAATGGGAAGACATTGCATAAAATTGTTTCAGGGCCATATTCCATAGTTCCATAGTATCTGGGGTAAATTAATGGTATATTGGCATATATTGGCGGTGTAATAGGCAAAAACACCATTTAATCATAACTAACCCACACAAGGAATGATAAGAAGGATGTGGATTGGGCCAAACAACTTTTACGGGAACACCTCTTTTTGTAGTAAAAAATGGTTTGCATCTTTTTGTAGCAAGGGACATTTTAGCCAGATATGAGGTTTAACGGTGGGATAGTTATAATGGGAAGACCTCGGATAAAATTATTTCAGTGACATATTCCACAGTATCTTGGATAAATAAATTGTATATTGGCATATATTGGCGGTATAATAGACAAAACCACCATTTAATCATAACTAACCCACACGTGGAATGGCAAGAAGGATGTGGAATGGTGTTTTATGGGGTGCAACTTGTTGATGTTGTTTTTGGGAGGTTTTGATGGCGCCATTGGATGGCTTAGAAAATAAAGCCTCCTGTTGCTAGAGTGAGGTTCTTTCCCACATTTCGACGTTTGATTATGCGCGCGGGCCGAGCATGACTGGCAGAAGAGGGCTATAGGGTTTCCGGTACGACACAACGCATCCCAAAATAAATCACTACAAAATGCGTTTCCGATTTATGAGTGCCAAATGGAACGCCGCTACAAGATACAGTGCGCACCCTTTTACTACAAAAACTAGTGCACGGGTCCATTTTTTTGCTTGAATTATCCACGAATCAAAGGATGGTACCAAGCACGTGTTCACCCTTTTAGTAGTGGAAATGGTAAGGGGGATCCAAAAGTGACAACTGTTGCAAAACTCGCCATAGGCACGGCCATAGCGACCTCACGCGGACGGTTGCGAACGGTTGCGGACGGTTGCGAACATAAACGCAACGTCGAGCGAACACACCCTCAAACCCCAGACCCCCAGAGTGAAACGGGAACCCTGCATTCGGGAAAAATTGCATAAACTGGTGAAATCAGCAACTTTTATATCATAATCATATAACATTTTTTTTTTTTACTTCTTTAAATCTTCAAAACATATATATTTCCATGATGTTTAGATGGTTGTGGCTCAAAAAAAATGACGGTCTGGATCGGCAGCACGTTGGTCAAAACAGGGCTATGGATCGCCCGTGGTTCTTAACCCTTCATCCGGACGATGTTGAGCCGCAGCCATCTAACTATAGTTTTAACAATATATACATTATAAATCATTATAATGCATTATAATAACTACCCATAAAATCCATAAACCAAAGATACTGCCTGGTTTAAGGGGATTCCCGTAATGGATGATGACAATCCCCTATGTATATGATTGGGTAGTATATTCTCCGAACTAATCATCAACTACCAGGGGTGTCGAACGCAGCCACTGCGCATATACCTCTGATGTTTTTCCCATCAGTTCCATTCATTTCATATATGGTACAGGCCTGCAACCCCCCCCTCCCCGGGATGGTTCCTAGGATTGGGTGTACTACCTCCCTGGAATCCAACTATCATGCAAGGTACCTCTGCTTCCCCGCCCCCCCCCTGTGGGGTGGGTTGGGTGTAGTATGTATGTACCTACGTAGGTTGGTAGGTATAGGCATGCATGCATGCATGTATGTATGTATGTATGTATGGGGGGGGATACATATGTATCTGAATATATATATATATACACATATATGTTTTTCATGTGTAAATACATACATACATACATACATACATACCATTACATTACATTACATTACATTACATTACATTACATACATTACATTACATTACATTACATTACATTACATTACATTACATTACATTACATTACATTACATTACATTACATTACATTACATTACATACATACATACATTACATACATACCATACTTACATACATACATACATACATACATATATACATATATACATAGATACATAGCTACACATATACATATATACATATATACATATATATATATACATATATATACATATATATACATATATGGGGGGGGATACCATCGGGGGGGGGGGTTGCCGGCCGCCGGCCGGGACCATATATTCCTCATGATTTTTCCATCGTTTCTTTTGGTTTTCCTCTTGTTTTCCTTTTGTTTTCTTATAGTTTTCCGATGGTGTTCCAAGAGTTTTTCTGTTTTCCCATGGTTTTCCTTCACTTTTCCCATGGTTTTTGCAGAAAAGTGCGGGTCATTTCCACTCCACTCCGGCACCAGGCGCTGCCAGATCTCCTCGACGAACGGAACTCTCCGTGCCACTTCGGGGACTCCGGATGCCGCCAGACTGTGGCCAGGCTCGGCTGATGGGTCAGAGCAGTTGGAATGGTGATGATACATATATATATATACAATATATATATATATATACAATATATATATATACAATATATATATATATATATATATTACAGGATGGGGCCCCCAAGATAGCGAAGTTGCCTTAGAAGTGGCTTAACTATGATATATATATATACCCTTTGGTTATGACTAACATAGACATGGAAAATCACCATGCTATTAATAGGTAAACCATCTATAAATGGACCATTTTCCATGGCTATGTTAAATAACCAAAGGGTATATATTGCAGGATGGGGCCCCCAGTCGATAGCGTCCAGTTGCCTTAGAAGTGGCTGAATTCTATGGTTTATGGTAGATATAACTATATTTACTATGGTTTATTAAACCAACTTATAACTGCAGGGGCACCACCTTGTTTGGTATGTAAGAATCATTCTCAACCAATAGGAATCATTACAGAAACCTGGGTATTCATTTTTGATATATGAATATTATGAATCATGAACATATATTACGATATATATATATACATATATATATATATGGTAAATGATAATATTTCACTAACCTGAAATAAGGCTATTTTGGGAAAATTCCCCTTATTAACCATGATTCCAGGGTTCGGTCGCAGTGAGGTCGTTATAATTTACCCATATATATACATGAGCTGTGGATGGAAAAAATCCTGCACCAGTTGAGAATTGGTGAATATCCCATTAGAAATCATTATTTCTAGGCTTTCAACCATCCTTTGGGTGTTGCAGGATTTCGCAACCATCCACAGGATGGGCCCCCCAAGATAGCTAAGTTGCCTTATAAGTGGCTTAACTATGGTTTATGGTAGAGATAACTCTAGCTAATGGATGTTAGTATATCATATATACATACAATGTGCCCACCAGTTACAAGTTGGTTTATAAACCCCATTATGTGTAATGATAAGTATCACAAACGCTAGTTATTGAAGTTATAAGCCAACTTAGCTATCTAGGGGGCCCCACATTGTATATATAACCAAAAGAATCATTGGCTAATGGATGATATATAATGGGTAATTAGAAAACATATTTTTGTAATCCATGGGATAACATGGATACATCATGAGTATTATAATTATATACACATATGTATATATATATATACATAATCGGCCGAGCTTAAATACTTGTACTTAACGAATGGTGATATTACATCTGTAATGGTGATACTACCTTTACTTAACAAATATACTGTAAGCAATATATGTATGTATATATATATATGTAAAAGTGTAAAGTATACTGTATCTGTATTAGAAATACATATTTATATTTACTGTAGATATGAATTGTGAATTATCATAGTTTGTCGAGATATGTCCCATATGATGTTCGGTACTATGCCAGGTATACATGTGAACATAATTCATCATAATTCAACATACTGTGGATGGGGTTTCTTAACCAACTTATATTTTAACAGTATTGTATGTCTAAATGGATAGTACAAATGGTATACAATATTTTGTCTAATCGCTTACAATGACGCTACTGTGATGGTTGCGAAATCCTACGTCTCATTATTGACAATGTTTCGCATTGACCAACAGTTACCAACTGGTGCAGGATTTCTTCCATCCACAGTATGTTCAAGGAGTTTCATAAACCATAGTTGTTGGAGTTTAATATACTAACTTTGCTTCTTATGGTGTTTCTTATATGCAACATATATATATATCATATTCATTAGAAGCGTATATGTATATATATATACACATACATATGTGGATATAAAAGCGTATAGTATATTGATGTACAGTATATATAACAATCATTCTGAAGTAGATAGAATATATAATGTAACATTATTATTAGTGCTGATAATAATAACCATGATTAACAAGAGATGATGATAATAGATGAATAACAATCATTATATAGCTACATATACAAGGTAGGGCCCCGTTTTTGAAAGCAAAGTTGGTAAACATCACTTTGATAACTATATATGGTTTCTGATAGTTGTAGTAAAAAATTGAAACTTAGAAACTATAACTATGGTTTATATTATAACTATAACTATCACTTTTATAACTATGGTTTCTGATACTCTGATGGTTTATAAACCAACTTAAAACTGGGGGACGCATTGTATCTGTCTGAAAATAGCTGAAACTTGCAGCCGTTTGAGGATGATTACCCGCAATTATGAAACAAGGCGTGTATAGTGCAAAATCGGTGTGTATATATATACATATGTATATATACACATATAAATGTATGTATGTATGTATGTATATGTATGTATATGTATGTATATGTATGTATATGTATGTATGTATGTATGTATATGTATGTATATGTATGTATATGTATGTATATGTATGTATATGTATGTATATGTATGTATATGTATGTATATGTATGTATATGTATGTATATGTATGTATAGGTATGTATATGTATGTATATGTATGTATATGTATGTATATGTATGTATATGTATGTATATGTATATGTATGTATATGTATGTATATGTATGTATATGTATGTATATGTATGTATATGTATGTATATGTATGTATATGTATGTATGTATGTATGTATGTATATATATGTATCTAAATGTATTATATAAAATAATTATATGTACTTATCTAAAAACCTCCAAATACCCATACAAAAAGGTAAATATCTTTAGTACTTTTACCAAATTCTATCGGTACCAGGAATGTCTTTGTATGTGCATCTATGTATGTAAATACCTTTCTATCGATCGATCGATCTATACGCTATCTATATACATATAATATGTGCTTGTATATATTACCTATATATCGCTGTAGTTTTATGTATACTGTAATGTATTGCAATGATATACCTTGGCTGATTTTGATTCTTCAAAGTCCTTCTCTTTCCTTTTTTGATTTAACATCAACGAATATAAAAAAGTTCCACACAAGGCAAGCCCACCTGAATAAGTTGATGTTTAGTGATCAAACTAATTAGGAATGATCAACCTTGACACTTATTCTTAATCTGGAATTCCTCAACGGATCGGTTTTTACGGGAAAATCTTCACCGGAAACCATGGTTTTTATTTACGAAAAAAACCGGGGTTTTCGTGTAGATCTTCCCATCAACCAATGCAGTTCAACCTTGCTGCGGCAGAATCAACTTTGACACTGAAAATAGGGCAGGCTTGAACAGTTCGACTAGCAACCAGGGCCACCAGGGTTATTCTTGTAGTTCAACTGGAGGTTAAACACGAGCCAAATCCAAACATCATTGTTATTGCTGATGCAGTATGAATTACCATATCTATTATTACTGGTTGGTGGTGCAATAACCATCTTGAAAAATATTAGTCAATGGGAAGGATTATCCCATATATTATGGAAACTAAAAAATGTTCCAAACCACCACTTTGTACCGCTTTGTGTATCGCACTGTCTTGGGTTGGGAAGACAGTGCTTTGACTGTGGTGACTCTATGGTCAAGACGGCAGCAAAGCCTGAACCGGACCTGGAGACGATGTCTCTCCAAGCCAACAAACATTGAAAAAGATCAACAGCGTAAACAACCAAGACCTGACACAGTGGCCGGCCCCGACGGAAAAGGCAGTTGACACAAACCCCAAAAACTGGTAGAAGGGCATCAGAGCAGCAAGTACCCACACGGCACAACAAGACCCCATCATCATCATACCACTGTGAGGGCCATGCAGTTCAGGCCCACCCCCACATTCACCATCATCTCTCAGTCGCTTCCGCAACAAGCCACGTATATGAGAAAGCTGATTCTCAAACATAGCCTGGATGCACTGATACTGGGTCTCACTTTGTCCGTAAAAGTGTTGAGACGGGGCCTGCATCAGGGCCTGTAGATTCGAAACTTGTTGAGACTGATGGTGGGTGAACTCCAGAAACTGCCCGTCAATCTGTGTTTGGTTCTGCATCAACGGTTGTACTTGACCAAAAGCAGAGAGCTCAAGGGTGATGTTCTCCTTCACAAATCCAGACAAGTCGACAAACCTATCAAGGTGTTGTGAGACGAACGGATCTCTGCATGCAGGGACAACGCATGAAAGCACCAAACCATGAACACGCTGAGACGGTGCAGCTCTAAGGTTGTTAGGAAGGGACATAGCACAAGGGTCTGCCCCTCCTTTCCGATCACCAAACTGGGAAAACGGCTGACATGAAAATCCCGCACTCTTCACCGCAGCATGATTACACGTGGACCACACTCCAGCGATCACCTGGGGACAGCCAGCATCACCGATCACATACTCACATCCTCCATGAACCTTGTGTAAGGTCACCATACGGGCACTAGAGTCAACAGCAACCATGGTTTGCACACCAACGGCATGGGCCCCATGTGTAGGACCATCAAACCCGCAGCAAGCATCGACCAGTTTGAAGAAGTCCTCCCAGGTATGCAGTGAGTGAAACAACACCTTAGTACCATCATCCACCTTCAGCAACGGAATAGAGACTTGCTGCACCAGGACAACATCCAGCAGAGTGAGCACTTCAGGAGCTCCATCCAAGAGGCCAGTAAGCACCAGACCAGTCCCATCACGGACAGAGGACCAAGTGGCGCACATGCACAGGATCAAAGACCACCATGACCACATCAGAGAGCTACCTCCAGCGTCAACTTCAGCAAGATCCATGACGATCCATGGCACAACACGGTGAACGAAACGCTCTACGATCAGCAGGGCACGGCCGCACCTGCTGGTAGGTGTAGAGCCCACGGCTTGTTCCAAACCACCAACCAGATTATTATTAGCTATATTATTTCTATACATGGACTTGATTAAATCTAGTTGTTTTGGCACCCAACCGTTGAGTACAATGAACCACAAGTGCCCACCAGTTGTAAGTTGCTGTGTAAATTCCGTTCACTAGAGACATATCTACCACTGCCATCGTTAAGCTAGGCAAATACACCAACATAGAAATTTTTCAGAGGCTCCATCTTGTATGGTGCTGAAGAACTCGAAGAGCTGGAACTGTCCCAAAAGATTTGGCTGGGACACTCAAGAGCTAAAGATTTACTTTTTTTCACCCCTTGCGGCTATCATTTACATTCATTTACCAAGAAAAAAGTTGGAACAACCCTGATAGCCACTGATCAACTGGCCCTTGAAAACTCTTTGTCAATTGGGGATCGCCCATATTCAACATAGAAAAGATATATGGGGTTTCCATAAATAGCCAAATGGATGGAAAACCCCAAACAAAAATTAATGATTTGTGGGTACCCATATTTTTTGGAAGCCCCCATATTCCAACTCCAAAACACAAGGTTTTTCATGTCTCCAACGGATCCAAGACCATCAACCAACCTCAAGCGTCTCGGACCAATTGGCCTTGATCTCGTGTCCATCACTACGGAACTTCTGCACTGCAGTGGCCCATTTTCCCTCCTGGGAATTGGGACCGAAAAAAAATCCACGGGAAAGTTAAAGTTTTTTTGACCCTCAACACAAATGGGCTATGGGATGAAATGGGAGTTTCCATACATGGGGTACCCCAAAATGGATGAATTATAATGGAAAATCCTACGAAAATTGATGATTTCGGGGTACCCCCATTTTAGGAAACCTGCAAGTAACTCCTGCAACCTGTGGTGTTTTTTATCACTTCAATACTTCAATGATGTTTTCTGAGGCAGTTACAACTGTTAAGTGCTGCCTTGGTATAGCTGTGGGGATACGTCTCGGCACCTGAAAGCTTCAGCAAAAAAAGGGACTCCGAATCAACCAAAAACGGCCGCAGTCACAACAGTCATGGTCCAACAAAATGGTTCATACTGTGGATGTTTGCGAAATCAAAAAAACATCAAAAGGATCGTTGAAACATGTTGAACCCCTATAAATAATAGGATGTTTACCATTTCTCAACTGGTGCAGGTTTTTTTCCCATAGCATGCTTACAAATAGGTTCGAGTTGCTCCATGCATAGCTGGCCTTGAATCTCCCTTACATAGTCATATTTAATTTTTACGATCTCTCCAAGCCTAACCTGTACAGCGCATCAGCGGCAGGACACAACTAATGGCAGCCATTTTTGCTTTTTGCAGTTCGGCAGGGGGTTCAACTGACACAGGACCAACCCTACGAGCCTACATGATCCTACATGATCCTACATGGAGGTTTCCAAAAAAAAAGTTACCCCTAGCTATCATCCATTTTCGTAGGATTTTCCAGTATAAACTATCTATTTTTGGGTACCTGGATTTTAGGAAACCCCTACATGTTGCTTGGGCTTTTGCAGTGTCCTCATCTTTGCTTGGTCGGGATTGACTGGTCTTAAAACGTCCAAAACCACACTGGTTGGCAGTTTCAACCCCATGAAACATATTACTCTTGTGGATTGCCATCCCGTTTCCAGGGGCAAACATAAGGATGTAGTATGGATTTCAAGTCGCCAAGCAGTCAATATCCCATTCACATCCACTATTTGTTGGTTAATACTGTTTAATACTGGCTAATATTGTATTTTGAATAATGGATATGAATAAACATATCGTATTATGATGAATAGCCATATGGTTAGCCATTATTCGTATCTATGGTTAATATTGATGACAATGACATCATTTATTTTTCAGGATAGCTATGGTTGAACATATTTATGTATCTATGAAATCAATATTAGTATCTATGGTTAATATTGGCTATGGTTACCATCTGGTTATTTGACATAGCCATGGAAAATCCCTTATAAATGGAAGTTTCAAGCTGGGAAAATAATCTATTTCTAAGGGCCATTTTCCATGGCTATGTTAAATAACCAGAGGGTATTATTCATTATCTCCCCTATAAATCCCTATAAATCCCTATAAATCTTTATAAATCCCTAAACATCCCTATAAATACCATAGCTATCTATTAACCATATCCTATACCAAATCTATCAACCATAGCTTTTGATGAAATCCTCTATAAATCCCTATAACTCCCTATAAATCCCCTATAAATCCTTAATAAATCCTCTATAAATCCGTAATAAATCCCTATATCCCCTATAAATCCATAGCCATGCTATTTTGGGACCAGCAGAAACAAAAAACAACCCGGCCGTGTTTTTCTTCGCAAAATCCTCCTGAGTTGGACCGCTCGGAAGCGATCGATGCCGCCGCTTGTCACGGTTGTCACGGGGCTGGGGCGGCCTCGAGACGGTTTAGCCACCATAAAGGTCCATCATAGCATTGCCAATCTTAGATGCCCTGCAAAAAATGAAAAATTCTTTGCTGGTGAACGTAGATATTCCCATTGATACCAAAAGACTAGTCAGGATTAGTTTGTATCCATCTAAGATTGACCTAGATTTTAGTGGTACCCTCTGGTAAACATACAAACAACTATGGAAAGATCCACTATTTTTCATGGGAACACTCACTATTTCGACTGGGCTATTTTCAATAGCTATGTTAAATTACCAGAGGGTATAGTGGTATGCAACTTATATATGGATATATATCGGGTTGGTGGTTGAGCCACATCTTGAAACATCGTCAATGGGAAGGATGACATCCCATATATGAAATGGAAAATACAATTCATGTTTGAAACCACCGACTATATATATACATATGGTATGTACCTCCAATCAATCATCAATCGGTTCCAGTGGCCATTGATTTTGGGGATGAATCATCCAAGGCTTTTCTTGGTACCACTGGTTTGGGTACAAACAAATGGTCGGATGCGGGCCCCGAGAAACCGGGCCACCGGGCAGCCGGGCCCCCTTACTGGCGTTGATACGCCCCTATTTTGATGCGCCCCAATGTGCTGAGAATCACCAGGAAAAAAGAGATTTAATCAAGAAGGGACGGAGGGTGAATCGCGTCGGACAGTGTTTGGTGTTTGGTGGAAACACGAAGGGCAAAAGAAGGGCGGAAAAAGGGGGATACGCGGGTAAGCGATATCGCGGGTTCGGACCCAATGAGGATACTGGGTCAAAGGGGGAATCACAAGTACATAGAGGTACCCTATTGATTTACCATCTGGTTATGACTAACATAGCCATGGAACATCACCAGTTTTAATAGGTAAACCATCTATGAATGGGCCATTTTCCATATTTTCCATGGCTATGTTAGTCATAACCAGAGGGTACACTGGTATTCAAACATGAAATGGACCCCTATTTAGGATGTTTTTTTTCCACGTAATATGGCATATTTTACTTGGACACCACTCCATAACCAAATGGTCACCATAGCGAGAATTTAGTTGGAAACTTCATGATCTGAATACCCTGGAGAACACCAAAATAGTGTCGCCACCAAAAAAATGTTCCAAATGAAGCAATCACGCCCAAGTATATCAAGTATCAACCATTGCTGGTAAGAATCATGAATGATGTAGATGAAAAAAATAACGTAAACCACAAATTGGGGATGGATGTATAATAAATAATAAATATATACCCAAATATTTATACAATGTTCTTTCCCGTAGACCCCTTTTTTTGCCAAGAAAGTCTGGGGAATAGGACTATGAAAATTGCTATTCCCTCTGCCTTGGGTCTTAATCTGTAGTCTCTGCTGAGGTTTTTGTTTCCACCAACAACCAGCGGGTTACTTCCAACAGTCCTTCATAAATGAGAGTTACGACTAGATACATCGCAAGGATGTGAATTTGTAACATAGCAAACCATGCATAAAAACATGTGTATATATATATATGTATACAAATTGCCAATCTTAGATCCTGCAAAAAATGAAAAATTCTTTGCTGGTGAACGTAGATATTCCCATTGATACCAAAAGACTAGTCAGGATTAGTTTGCATCCACCTAAGACTGACCTAAATAAAAAACCACGGAAAGATCCACTATTTTATAGCTGGGTAAATCCACTATTTCGACTGGGCCATGGCTTCAATAGCTTTTTGTATGTTTAAAAGTGGATTCTGATGCAACCATAGGTTTCACATGGCTTGTTTCCATAGCTTGCTATTCAACCACAACACTCGACTCGCTCGACTCGCTCGACTTGCTTCACCGCTTCACCGTGCCTTGGAGTGGACAAAGGGAAGAGCTCCTGGAGCATATTGAAGACATGGTCAATGGTTAATTTATGTATGGTTAAAATTTATGATATATGATTTATTATGGTAACTATGGTTATATATGTGTATGGTTAACATATTGAGGTCATACATAGTTATCTTAGATAGCCTCTGGTAAATTAACATGACGACCCTGGCAAATAGGGGTTGGAAGATTAGTTTCCATTAAAAACAAGGCTATTTTCAGGGCCTATGTTAATTTATCAGAGGGTACCCTGCATCTATTTTTCAGAGCTGGTGAATATATATATATGTATATATATATATACTATATATTTAATTATAATATCTATATGTATTATATATAATTTAATATTACCTAGGATTCTAGGACTGAGACTTTTGGGATGCTCTTGTAGGTATCTCGAGTAACTAGGGTAACTCTCCTAGGAGAATGAAGTGAGAAGTAATGGTGGTGAGAGGTAAGGGGAGGAATGATGTGAAGCGTCAGTCTCCGATCTTGTTAAATGGAGTAATACGGATGCGGGGCCACTGGGCTAGTAGGGTCAAAATGAAAGGAAAATGAAAGGAAAGGTAAAAACGATAGCTAAAGCTCTACCCTAGGGTGAGTAAAGGAGCTGGAATAAGTTGCTGACGTCAAAAAAGTAGAAGCGGAAAAAAAACGGTGGGGTGAGCTAGGAGACAAGGGGAATAACACAACTGCTCTGGGTACTTATATACACTGTATATATCTTATTATCTTATATGATATCAGTATGCCCATTTGTGGCAAGAGACCAGCTTTGCCTAGCTTCCAAGGTTCCAGGAGTCAGGCAGCGGTTCCGTTGGATCTATTTTGAATGGTGGAAGCAAAACAACTAGGAGTCATTGGGGAGAAAATGCTCAGGTAAAAATCGCTATGGAAATATCATGCATTTCAAAGCAGCAAGATTTGCTGGTACCCCTGTTTTTCTGGTTATGGTCTCCTTATGATGATCGTATTTCGAAAGACCTAAAATTATTTGGAGTTTACACACCTCAATTCTTACATATTAACATCAAATCCCACTTGTAGAGGGTCTGCAGGATGATGTTCCTATTGGATATGATCAATACGGGCTCCACGTCATTTCTAGAATATTGTATCTTGACATACTATGTATGCATATATATATACATATGGGATCTTACAATGGGGGATCATCAAAATCATAGCTTTCACTACTAATGGTCTACTGACTTGGATGATTTGGAGCTACCCCTACGTTAGGACACCTCCATATAATCAATGATGTATATGTATGTATATAATGTATATGTATGTATATATATTTATAGATTGCATGTATTCAAGAAGGAAGGGCCTAATCTTCTACAATATGTATTTGTATCATATAGCAAACATATGAAATGATAGGAGCATGTAGAAAATCATATGCAAAATCTATAGTCAATTTGATTATAATAATATGTATGTATATATATATATATACATAATGTGGGTAAAACAAAAATAAACCAATCCCCAAATCACCATTTTCACAGGTGGTATGGTTACCATTCCCAGTCATGGGTGGTTCATGGCATTGTTTTAACCACAGTATACCATACCATATCATATATCATAGCAAATACTACTATATGTATGTGATATATATATATATATATATACACATACATGCTACATCATGTATGTATAAATATATATATATATATACATATTATATAATACTACTACTGCTGGGTTGTCATGAATTGGGATACCCCAATAGCTGGATGGTTTATAAGGGAAGATCCCTAACAAAAATGGATGATAACTAGGGGTACCCCTATTTTAGGAAACCACCATATATGTTTGAAACCACCAATCAGTTTCATTGGCTATATATGGCTTATATATATATATATTCATGTTTATCCATTTTTGTTGGTGAAACATCCAAAATCATATGGCTTATATAACACTACTACTGCTATATATATATATATATCTGCTATATATCTCCTACAATGTGGGACCCCCCCAGATAGCTAAGTTGGTTTATAACTTCAATAACTAGACCTTTATGATACTTATGAGTATAGTTAATCGGGTTTATAAACCAACTTAGGGGGCCCTACATTGTATGTATATATATTTATACATATTATTCTAACTCATGCATAGACTATAGTTATATTATGTTATATCTACCATAAATCATAGAACTCAGCCACTTATAGTTATATCCCCAATACTACTACTGCTATATATATCCTCTATATCTCCTACAATGTGAAGACCCCCAGTTATAAGTTGGTTTGTGAACCCCATTAACTATAGTGAAATTGGAGTTATTTGCACCAACTTAGCTATCGGACGGGCACCACCTTGTATATATAACCAAAAGAATCATTGGCTAATGGATGATTATTTTTAAATGGGTAATGGATGATAACATACCTACCCATTATATATCATCCATTGTATTTTTGCCATATATATCCATTGGATAACATGGATACCCTCTGGTAAACTAACATAGCCATGGAAAATCACCATGCTATTAATGGGAAAATCCACGTTTTTTCAATGGCCATGTTCAATAGCTATGTTAGCTTACCAGAGGGTACATTGCAGGATATATCTCATCTCCAACTGACGCGGATTCCGCCTGGAAAGTATCTGAAGATGCCACCTGCGCGGAGCAACTTTTCACGTGCTGACAAGGTGTATATCTTATTCAAGATAAATTATCTATAACATTATACAAATATATATATATGTTAACATGCTAGATAAAATGTTTAAAACCATATCCAGATAATCTTTTTTGTTTTAACACCCGAATCAGAAAGACATTCGTATCAACGGTAGAAGATTTTTGTCAAAATCAATGTATAAATAAATTTTGCAACAATTCAACGTTGGTTTGTTTGATTAAAACTGCCGGATTTATATAGATTTATGGTGAATATATATATATATATTATATATATATATACACAATATGTATATAAATATATATATATACACAATATGTATGTATATATATATATATATGTGTGTGTGTACATTGTATACATAATAGTATATACATAGATATGTATTTGTAATTCAAAAACTGACATTTTTTTTGGGTCAATCCTATCATTCGATGTCGCCTTTTCTATGTCGCTGCACCACTGACATTGACCTGGAGAGCCCATCCAAAATTAAATCGTCCCCCAGTCATCTGCATTTTTATAGGTGCTTTGGAAACCAAAGCAAATTTCTTTTGGATGGTTTATAAAAAAAAAGTTTTAAGCTCATTACTCGATATTTTGGATCACTGGGTATGTTTGACAATAACACAGAATGATGAAATTGAGTATGGCTCATTATAAACGGTTCACCACATTCATCACCCCAGGTAATTCAAGAACACATCTCTTTAAAGCCATCCTCTACAAGATTGTGCCCCCAACGTTGATCGGTTTATAACTAAAGTAGCTAGGGTTTATGGTGATTATTACTATATTTAGATGGTAATGAACTAATTTATAGCTGGTTGGTGGTTTCAACCCCTCTGAACAATATTAGTCAATGGGAAGGATTATCTCATATATTATGGAAAATAAAACATGTTCCAAACCACCAACCAGATAGTTAGGGAGCACCACTCTGTCTGAACCACGAGTGATGCACAATCTTCGAACCATTTGGGACCGCAAATCTTCAACCTCCGGAGTCACCCGAACACGCCTGAATGGAACTTGATATTTTTCGTTGAAAATCCTGCAAGCACGGACCCTCCTGTTTACGATAGCTAAGTTGGTTTATAAGTCCAATAACTAGTGTTTTTGCGGGAGATACAATTATAGTAGCTACAGTTCGTGGGATTTGTAAACCAACTTATGACTAAAGGGGCCCTACTTTGGGGCGAAAAAGGTCCAACAAATTTCTGGCGATTTCGCATGTCCCGGCGTTTGTTGACACGTCATCCATCCCACAGTGGGAATCCTGATGGGTTTATAAAAGCTTAATGGATGGATGACCATCAATATTTGTACACATTCCAACTAACTTGACCATGGCTTATCTCATTCTCCTGATTGACAACTGACCATATGGCTCAAACACATTGTTCCAAAGCAGCTGGTAGAAAATTCCTCTGTTAATCTTCCAATTTTCATGGCCACGTATTGATGCATCCCTGCATCCATATGTTTCATGCGTGGCCATCATCACTGCCAAAATCACCACCAAGAATCTGCTTAAATCCTGACTTTGCATGCTTCAATCATGTCAAATCTCTATGTTTACCCCTTAACATCATTCAACATCCCTATGTTAAATGGTATCAAGATATCAAGACCATGACACCAATAGGGTCAAGAACTAGGTGGAGAAAACTTGGCGCAACTTTTACACCCACTCCACTCATCGCTTCCGACATGAATAAAGCATTTAATGGATGAATTTCCCATGAACAAACCTCCATTGATATAGGATTTTCCAGGCCATGTAGCTGATTACCACAGAGTAAATCCATTAGTATCCTATTGTTATCCCATGTCTATCACTGGCAAAACATATCACACGGTATAGATTTAGATGATACAGCTTAACACTTGGAATGATATCCTATGATTATCCCCTTATTATCCCTATGTTTATCCCTATTACCCTCTGGCTATGGGCAATCACCATTTAGTTCGTGAGTTTTCCCATGAACAATGGTGGATCTTTCCATAGTTTTATGTAAACGTTTACCAGAGGCTATCCCATGTTTATCCCTATTAAACCAAACAAAACCATAGGATCAAAGTCTAATTTCGGGCATCCTGACGAATAACCCCCTCCTGTCCTCACTGAAGACCTGCGACCCGTCGGGTGATCGGGTCGCAATGATGGTGCCATGGGATGTTGGAAACATCCCAAGCTGAAACTGCCCAGTCAGTCAGTCCGGTGCATTCCAGACTTTTCGTTGATCTTCTAGACTTTTTCAGATGTTTGAAAAGGGATTTTTAGTCGGAAAACTCCAAGATTTCATGGTACACGCTTGTGATATCCAAAGAAATGGTAAAACTCTGGACAGCAACAGCCAAAAAGATGAAAAGGTCACATCCTAGCAAAACATGGTAAATTAGTGTTCCATCTATCCATCTATCCGTCTATCCATCTATCCATCCATCCATATATCCATCTCTGTACCTATCTATCTATCTATCCATCCATCCATCTATCTATATAATTACATGTTTACCGCAATATTAGTCAGCAAAACTGCGCAACATTGATCAAAATTCACAGCCCCTCCTGCCTGAGTAGCCACCGACTGCGCCGTCAAGACTGAACGAAAGGCCCTCACAAAGGATGACGTGTGGCGAGGACGGCCCTATTTGGAATATAACGTTGGTGAATATAGCTGTTAATATTATTGCCAATCTTAGATACCCTGCACAAAAAGACAACTTCTTTGCTGGTGAACGTAGATATTCCCATTGATACCAAAAGACTAGTCAGGATTAAAGTATCCATCTAAGATTGACCTAGTATAGTGTTAATACACTCAAATTAGTGGAACTGTAGCTGCAGTAGCCCTAGGAAGGGTTCAACCGTGAAAGTTTCTGTGTGCTTCACAACTACCATGGGAACTGGCTGGCTCAACCGCCAGGACACACACTCCCCGTGACACATTTGGACGGACCTGCGAGTTTGACCCTCGAAGACCGCCAAATTGTAGAGGGCCGCCAATCCGATAAGACCCAGCAGCCTCGGTGAAGCGAAGACAAAATGCTTCAGCCATGGGATGCCATGGGGTCACCGGGTCACCGTTGATCTACTGAACTTGAAACCGGTCATTGCACGACAGAGAGCGTTACAAGGATTCGCAGAACATGAGTTTGTTTAAAGGGAAAAGATGCAGCAAGTGTCAGGAAACCCAAATGTTTGGGGTCAAGAAAGTAACCTGTACACCAATCCATTGAAAAACATACAACACATGGGATTAAAGAACTAACAATGTCTAGGAAAAAAACCCATTAAATCCTATTAATACGTATTGTGCATTGATGATATAGTTGTCATTGGAAGACACAATTTCAATTTGTCAAGATGGAACCCGAATAAAACCACCAACCAGATCCTGACCGGTCCCCATCGTTTTTTTGAACCTGCTTAGACTCCAGCCTCAAACCTTGCCGATCAAACCTTCCCAGTTTGGTCTCTCCATATGTTGGGTCGAAATCAAAACGACATCTGGACTTTGTTTTTGTATGTGTGTTATGACCTTCATGACCTTCCCATTAGCTGCAGAATGGAAAAAATGGTATGCGTGTTTTTCTGGTTGGTGGTTTGAACCTACTCTGAAAAATATGAGTTCATGAACGTCACTTGGGATGATGACATTCCATTCCCAATATGATGGGAAAGTCAATCCAAATTCCATGGTTCCAGTCACCGCCTAAACCAGTGATTACTAACCATCATGGAACCATCATTAACCATCATTAACCATCATTATCCCATACTAAACCAATGTTCCAGTCACCACCAAGCAGTTTTGTTCTACTCATGTTGATCCACTTCGTGAACCACCAAGCGACAGCGGGTCCATCATATCCCCGGAGATGTAGGACTCAGTCACGGCGCAGAAGGAATTCCATGGAAATCTCCATGCGGAATGGGGGAAAACCTTGGAACTTGGAACATCATCTGGAAATAGCTAGTTTTCCATGGTTAATTTTCCATGGTCAAGTTAGATTACCAAACTGGGTGAGGATCAGTAACCATCAGTACCCAGTACTGAGATTTCTAGACCAAGCTGATGAATCGTGATGTTCACCCCCCATGGGAATCATTCGTCTGCCAGATCAGGATTTGTTCGACGAAGTCTTGAACATGATCTGCGGATTAAAAATCGATGTATTACCCTAACTAATTCAACATGGCTTGCTGAACAATCCCTGTTTGATCTGCTGATTTTCACCCTTTGAACCTCCATTAAAAAAAACTTCCATTTATAGCTGGTTGGTGGTTTGAACCTACTCTGAAAAATCATGGTTACGTGAAAGTCACTTGGGATGATGACATTCCATTCCCAACTGTTTCTGGAACGTCAATCCAAATCCATGGTTCCAGTCACCACCAACCAGTGATTACTAACCATCATTAAACATCATTAACCATGATTTCAGTTGAGATTTCCCATGATTTCCCATGATTTTGTGATGTCCAAACCACTGAAGGGACCAAATTTCCCATGATTTCCCATGGGGTCCGTTGAATCGGCTGAGGAGCAGCGAAGACGCTTCCGATGACGCCCAGCGTCAAAACCACTAGGGCCACAAAGAAGCGCAGGGGGAGAAACGTGAAACTGCAGACCACCTGATGCGAACACGAGCGAAATTTTCATAGGATCTGGGTAAATTATAGATAATGCCATTAATGCTGGTTGGTGGTTTGAAGCCCTCTGAAAAATATGAAAGTCAGTTGGGATGATGACATTCCCAATATATGGAAAAATCAAAGTCATGTTCCAAAACAGCTCCCAGGTTATATGTCACTAACCTGAAATAATGGTTATTTTGGTTATTTTAAGGGATAATTCCCCTATAAAAACCACGGATTCCAGGCGGAGAACGACGGCTTCGGTCGTTTTATGAAATTCATCCAGATTGGATGATCAAGAATTACCACCAGGTCGTTGCTAACCAGCAAACGCCCTAGAAACCAGTGATTTTTCATGGTTATATCATTTTTATGGGATTATCATTCATAAAATTTTAGGGTGACTTGTTGACTTATAACGGCCATAATTAATTGTATGTGTAATAAGGTGGTAATTGAATTTTCATTTCCATGGGATTTACTATGGGATTATCATGGGATTGTAATGATAATCCCATATCTGCTCTTTACCGGAATGTGGGATTTACGTGCAATAAACATCTGGCAAATTTACCGGCATTGAACCAGGATATTATTACCATCAACATGTTCGGTTTTCACGATCGAACCATGGGATTCTCATGGGAAAATAGATGGGTTTATATACTTTGAGTAGACTAATATGGGTATGTCTGAAAATGGGGTTATTTTCCCAATGAAATAGCCATTTAAAAAGTAGGGATAATGATCAGCAAAACCATTGAATGTAGGGGTACACTATCTTCAGACAAACCCATATGGAGGTAGTATACAGCATTATACAATAACGATAACGTTATCATGATTTTTTTCCCCATCGGGGTTGAAACTAATATATATATATACAGCGCGTGTCAGCTGTGCTTCTACATGTCTCATGCATTGCCAGCATTGTGCTCTGCAAAGCTTGTATGAATCGTTCCAAAAGATCTGATATAATGTGGGTAAAACAATAATAAACAAGCACCCAAATCACCATCAATAGGTGGTATAAACTATTCCAAAATGGGTGGTTTATTTTGTTCTAACCACATTGGTGACATCTGTTTATGTTTTCAGAACGGTACCTTGGCCATGACGGTGATTTTGGCATGTTGCCCTTGCCGTGAATTATTCATATATATATATCTGGTTGGTGGTTTCACACCCTCTTAAAACATATTAGGGGATGATTCTTCTCAATATATGGAAAAAAACCTTCCAAACCACCAACCACATATATATATACTGTATATATATATATATGTATAATCAGAGTTGCTCCACACACCGGTACTCGGGGTGAAATTTGGGTTATATCTAAAGGAGAAAGGTACAATGACCCAATTCCCCCAATTCAGTGGCGCCCTGATTCACTTTGTTGGAGCAACCCTGAAGATGCCCTGGCTGTTGAGAGATGGAGACGCCAAGACACCAGCAGTTTGGCAATGGTTCCTCGCGCTGCTTGACCCATATGTCCTCAGCTTTTTTCGCTGACGGTCATCGCCGCGAAAGTTTCGGATGGACACATCCAAAAGGGAACGCATATCATGTGGAAAACCCAATAATCAAACATGGCTAGCTGGGAAATCCATGAGTCCCCTGTAAAAGTATTGAAGGGAACGTCATCTGCAAATGAGGTCACACTGCCTGCAACTAGCCCGCGCCATTTGCCGGTTTTATGGCCTCAGCATCTTGGCATGACTGGCCTGTTCATTGGTATTCGCATGGCTTTAGTATCGTTTTCATGCATTTACAGTGGTGGACATGTTACTTTGTTCTTCACATGTTTCAAAAGATGTTTTTCTTGATGTTGGACATTTCAAGAGAAATTGAAGAGCGTAGCATCAAGAGCGTGCTGCAAGTTCCAAGAGAAAGCAAAGAGCGTAGCATCAAGAGCATATTTAGAATTACAAGATACAACTTCAGAGCTTAGCATCCCAAACGTGGCATCAAAAGAGCCCGGTGCCAGAACGTTATTAGCCCTCCCCCACCCCGCCACCCGAACCCCCTCCCCAATCCCCGCACCTCCCACCACCCTCCCGCCCCAACAAAAATATGGTCACTCGTTGACAGTGTTGTGAAATGTGCACAACATTTTTGAAACGTGCGCAACATCTTGCAAAGTGCATAACATCTCTGAAACTTGCATCTGTGACATGTGTGAGAAATTAAGAAGGAGAATGGGAATGGGAATGCATGTGTAAAATGAAACAAACATGTTATGCAGCATGTTACAGGATGCAAAAAAGAGCGAACCACATGGGGTCTTTAGAGGCGGTGTGAGCATAAAAAAGGTCAAAACGTTGATAATGACCGGGACGGCTCATTTGCCAACGGACCACTTGACCCTCAATTCTGCGCCACTTTTGTCTCTGACGCGCCAGCTGCCCCACAGCCTTCCAGAGACAACCTTGTTGTTCTTTCTCCATCGAATCTTAAGCAAAGTTCTTATGACATAGCATCAAGTAATGCATATATACATAACGCAGCTTGAAGTTGGAGTAGAAGTACAAGAGAAGTTCTTATGAAATAGCATCAAGTAATATATATATATATCTAGTGTGCGTATATGTGTATATATATATATTTGTAACGTGGAGTGAAGTTGAACAGAATTTCTCGTGACGTAACATCAAGGAGGTGTGCAAGTGCCAGGACCTTAGTGCCCCAACCCATCCGAAAGATAAACCACAAGAAACATAGAAGGGAACGTAGAAAAAAAATCAAGGGAAGAATCCATCAAAGCCAGGCCTGTTAGGGTCGCTGCCGGAAGTAATTTTAACTGTCATTGTACAATGCAAATGACATGTAGGTGGAAACATGAAAAACATCACCAGTCGCAAACAAAGTCTCCAGCATAAACAATTACCATGTCTGCAATGTGAGGCCCCCAAGATATAAGTTGGTTTAGATTCGCCCCAGTAACTAGTTCGTTGTAAATACCATAAACCATAGTTATTGGAGTTATTTGCACCAACTGAACGCTATCCAACGGGGGCCTCACATTGTGGGGATGGTGACTCCACGATGGCGACTCTAAGGATGTTCTATGAACTTGGCTTTACCACATTACAGCGGTGCAGAAAATCCGGGCTTGACCGGTAACCCATGAAATTTCTCAGCTGATCATCGTGGATCTTTCGGAGAACGGTAACCTGTAGATCGGTGCCAACGAACTCCACTGCCGGGAGGTGTTTTTCGCAGCGCCCTGCAAAACTTATCGCTGGAAAAATCGCCGCACATCGTCTGCTTTGTGCTTTCTGTTATGATGAAAGTACGAAAAATATATTGCAGACAGCCGACCGGCAAAACAGATTCTCACACAAACACACATCTGTATATAATATATATATATATACACGATTCTATAATGAATTAATCAAGGGGCTGTCCAGTCAACCCCTCACCATCTCCCCCATTGCGCCAAAGATCTGCCATCGATGATGACCACCGGCCGGGTCAGTAGCAGTGCCAAATCGGCACAGACCAGCAATGCCCAGAGCGTCTCTGGAAACACCTCGGCCACTCAAAGCAAGTCACGATAGGCATCAGGTATATAGATGTATATAGTGTCTATGTTCATGTCTATTATGTTTATCTACCTATCTAATCTAATTATCTAATTATCTAATTATCTAATTATCTATCTATCTATCTATCTATCTGCACATATTTATACCACATGATAAATTATAATATACATGTATGTATAACATGATAAATATATGTATATATGTCGCATGATTATACAAACACATTAAACTTATGATTATATACATATACATATATGTCTCAAAGGCTATCACATATTATGCATATATACTATATAGTGCTATATTGCTATATAATTATATATATATGTATATTCTGTATACGTATTCACTAAAATGCCCAATGTTGAAACTTTGTATCCCCATAAGTCATAAGCATCAACCACTAGGGCCCAAACACCATCAAACATTGCGACATGTTCCCCATGAATCCACGAAAAATGGAGCTGGCAAAATGGGAAAATCCCCTGTAACTCTGGGAATATCATAGCATATATAATGGCTGGTTTGTGGTATACCTACCCCTCTGAAAAATCATGGTTATGTTCGTCAGTTGGGATGATTATTCCATTCCCAATATGATGGGAAAGTCAATCCAAATTCCATGGTTCCAGTCACCACCAACCAGTGATTACTAACCATCATTAACCATCATTGTCCCATACTAAACCAATG